CCCCAAAACCCCAAAACCCCAAAACCCCTTGAGTAAATTTTTTTAGGTTTTTAAGAAAATGTATAATGAAATTTAAAAATTATAATTTTTTAAAGCAGCCATGTCCTTGTAAAATTCTTAATTTTTTAATGATAATTCTAAAATGAAGTTTAAATTTATTCACGCACAGCTCTGTCTTTTCTAACGGAATCCCATAAGTTAATTTTTAAGGCGATTGAAGTCTTCCATTATTACCAGTGTCTCGTAATCTCTCCAAAAACTCTACAATGGTGTATGATTCCTCTTTGTTCGCTAGTCCTTTCTGCTATCAGCAGTATTTGACTTTGTATAGTTTTAATAAAAAGTGGTATCGTGAGTTGAATATGGGGTTTTTTATCTGATGAAGCTTGGTTTTTTTACTTCACCCATCTGTTTTATCTATGATAAATTCTAAGGTGAGACAGCATAGGAACTATAATTTGGTTTTTAAATTTTATTCTTGATATATATTTGACTAGTAGTAGCAGAGTTATCAATTTTAATAGAGAGATTTGACTTATTTTTATCTCTTGTGCTAGTAAAAAAGAGCGATTCTTTTTTACTTGTAGAATTTTAGGATTATTTCGCTACTGATACTGACCTCTGATATTCCTATATATAATCTCTCATAAGAATGTTGTTAGTTTGTGGCCTATGCTTTAAAAGAGCCATCGGACTAACCTATCTGGTCCATAAATTAGACTGCCTTGAATAGTCTTTGATTCTTAAATGGTTTGATTTTCTTTTATCAAGCAACTTTTTAATTTCTATGTCAAAATCATTATTATTATTATTTTTGTTTAGATCTGATACTTTTTTAGCAGTTTATGGTATGGCAATAGATTCTATTGGCTAAAATGTTTCACCATTCATATTGAATTCACTTGTTGAGAGTAGGTTTGAGTGAATATCCTTGTTCATAATACTGTCCTCCTCATTGATATCTACATTTGAAACCTGATGCTCAACCTGATGTCAGCGCCTAAATTATGATTAAAAAGCCTCACTGAAGCTATTTCTCGCTTGATCTTTGCTACTAGATTTATTTTTCTCAGTTAGTTCTTCTTTATTTTAATTTACCTCTTCATTTATTGTTTCCATTATAATTAATTCCTCTTTTTTAATAGTGTTTAGCGTGTTTTAATAGTTTAGGTGAGTACTGAAATTGATATGAGAAGATTATGGAGTGGGTTAGTTACTTAAATTCTTGTTACTTGGAGTATTATCCTCTTTTTTATTATCTTAAGATTCTTGTTCAATTTCCTCTATAAAGCTTGATGAGCCGAGACCGAACTGTACCTTTTTACTTTTATAATCTCTTAGTTCTGATGTTTTTCTAGGATTATTCACACCTTTTATATCAAATTGTTTCCTAGCCTACTGGAATTAAGTTCGAAGTCTTTTAGGTAAGGATTATTTTTCTTCCTCAATCTCTTTTTACTTATCCTATTTCAGCTGGTCAAGTTATTTCTATTTGAGTTTTACATAGTAGAAAGGAAATTTATGAGCGATTTCATCAATTTTCTTGACAATGTCCTCCTTATCATCAATCTTTTGAATGTCCAATTTTACTCAATTTCTTAAAGATTTTATTTTTTTTACATCTTCTTTAAAAGGGGAGCTTATTACATTTTACATTACTTTCCAAGGTACCACCTTCTTAGGAATATCCTCATTGAGGCGTAAGAAATTTTTGTCGAATAAAGGGGGATCATCAAATAGTTGATTTAAGTCATATTTTGGAATGAGACTTTCATTAATCCTAGATTTAGAATTTGAGCTGTTTCAATCCTTATTAAATCTCTCAATTAAGTCACAACATGAAACCTTTTAACTTGTATTTAACAGCACTATTCTCTCTTTGTTGGGGTCACTGAATGCTTCAATTTTATTGTATTTCTTTTTTGCTCTTGATTTCCCATTAATGGGAGTAATTTGACTCCTGTTTGAAGGGGTGAAGCAGTCTAATATATGAGTTGAGGAGTTTTTGGAAGATCCTTCATGATGAAACAGTGTATTCATTTCTAAATATTTATGACCTTATTTTTTAAATATAAAATATAGCCCCCCATGCTTACTAAATTTCCATAATTCAATCAAAGTGGGGTTTTGGGGTTTTGGGGAAAATCGTAGTACCTTAATTGCTGGTTACAATTATTGAACTAAAAAACTGATTGCACCAATGGAATATGATGGTTATACCAACAGTAAGCTGTTTGTTACTTGGGTTGAGAAAGCCTTATGTAGAGTTAGCACAAGGACAGTATGTCATTATGGGTAATGTCTGCTTTCATAAGTCATCACGAGTAAAGGAGCTTATTAAGGCCAGAGGTTGCCATCTAATCTATCTACCAGCATATTCACCTGATTTAAATCCTATTGAACATGTCTGGGCTAATCTCAAGAGATTAATTAGGATTAATCCTGAAAAGGAAACAAATCTTAGTTGCGCTATTCAGCAATCTATAGCTCAAATGTTTATTGGTTAACTATATTCACACTATAAAATTACATTACAATGATAATCAATATTAACTAAATCACGCGATCAAAGCAATCTTGGATAAATTGGGCAAATACCATTTCTAGACGACTGTGCACTGCATTTCGACGAACCAAAAAATAATTAGTTTCACCAAAATAGTAGTCTGGTAAAACTGGCACTAATTCCTTAACAATCAAACCATTTTGCACGAATATATCCGCAGCACTAATA